AAGCCGCTCCTACAGTGCCGCGCCCGCCGCGCCGTATGTCCCGCCGTCCGATGTCCTGCCTGCCGCCTGCTGCCGCCGCGCCGCCTTACCGCCGACCCTTATCGTGCCGCGCCGCCTTTACACACACACCTTACTTTCTGCTCGACCGAGTTTGCGCTGATGAGCGAACCGAGCCGCCGGGTGCCCCGCAGCGGCCTCGCTGGGCCAGAACATCGGCCCCGAGTGCTCCGCAGCAGCCTTGCTGGGCCAGAACGTCGGCCCGCGAGGTGGGGTGCTAGTCTGGGACCCATACGTGGCAGTTCCCTTGCTCCAAGCGCTTGCGCTTCGGCGGTAGTGATCTGATCACCCGAATACCACGTTCGGATCGCTCCTCATCGCAAACCCTGTCAGCAGTTCACCTACGGGTATGTTCGTAAGAGCTACATACACTGAAAAATAAATGAAAAATTTGGCCTCGCACCAAGCATGGCGGCGCGTCCACTGGGGCCATCTCCGCCGTCGCCGCCCTCGCCTCCGGGTCAGGCTGCCGCGCAGGGTGCGGCGCCTGCGGTCGGCGACGTGTACATCGGCACACCCCGACTCCTTTCGCACGCTCGAGGCGATCCGTCGAAAGGCGACTTCGACCTGGCCGTCGTGCGTCGACTTGGCGTCCCCCACCTGGACGAAGCTGGCAGCTGCTTTATCGCCGTGTACCAACGCGACGACGGAATCATCCGCGAGAAGCGATGGGGGCCGAACGACAGCTACCGAAAGACGATGACGCGAGTGGGGCGGGTCAATCTGTCGACCGGCAGCGTTGAGGCCTTCGACCCGCCGAACTTTGAAGGCGAGGCCGTCTTCACCGAGTGCGACTTGAAACGGCTCCTAGCCGAAGGCCAGAGCAAGCGCAAGCGCAAGGCCAGGCCGCCGCCAGCAGAGCCCACCATGCCAAACCCCGCGCGCCGCCAACGGGGCTGGATGCGCCCCGTCACCGGCCCTGGCAGCGGGACGGGCGGGCCCGAGAACGCGATTGAGCTGTCTGACGACGATGATCCGAGTCCGCAGCGCGTGAGAGGGGTGGCGGCAGCGGCGGCGGCAGCGGCACCAGCGGCGGCACCAGCGGCACCAGCGGCAGCGGCGGCAGCGGCGGCAGCGGCGGCAGCAGCGGCAGCGGCACCAGCGGCGGCACCAGCGGCACCAGCGGCACCAGCGGCACCAGCGGCAGCGGCGGCAGCGGCGGCAGCGGCGGCAGCGGCGGCAGCGGCAGCAGCGGCGGCAGCGGCGGCAGCGGAGCAGGGGCGGGGGCAGGACGACGAGGCGGCGGCTGCGACGGCTGCGGCCGGAGAGCCTCGGGCGACGCCGGCACGGGCAGCAGCACCAGGGCCGGCCGGGCCGGACCGCAGCGCGAGGGAGCGCACACCAGCCGACCCGAAGCTGCGGTCGCTGATCGACATGGGCTTTCCCGAGGGCGACGCCCGCATCGCGCTCGCCCATTGCAGCGGCGACGTGAACGACGCGGCCGAGCAGCTGCTGCGATCAGCGAACAGCAACGGCGGGGTGCGCGGCGGCGAGGCGGCGGCCAGCTCGAGCAGCAGCGGCGGCGCGGGCAGCAGCGGCGGCGCGGGGAGTGGCGAGGAGGCGGCGCCAGAGCTAGGGGTGGACAGAGGTGGCAGCGACGCCGCTGAGCTAGAGGCTGACAGAGCAGATGGGTGGGAGACGGGCTCAGACGCTTCTCACCACAGCGGCTCGGCGGCATCGCAGGGTGGGGCATCGTCGGTGACGAAGCCGGTGCCCATCGATCTCGATTCGGTGACGTGCCAAGTTCATCCGATCGACAAGGTGGGGCAGGACTTCATCGGGGACGTCAAGGCCCTCTTCGCCAAGCGGTTCCCGAAGATGAGAGGGCGGGACCAGCTGGTGAGCGCGCTGCTGGAGGGGCTCGTCAAGGAGCACCAGTCCACGTTGTCCAATTTTGCTCTTTTCACGGGGCGCCAGATCTCCTCCCCCAGAGCGCCAGAGCTGCGCAGCCTGCATTTGGCGCTCGCGACGCGGGGAGTCGACCGACCGCCTGGCGAGTGCGAAGAGGAGGAAGACGGTTGCGTGGAGATTCTCGGCGCCTCGGCCATCGCCAAGGTGTACAGGGGTGCACGCGACCCGACCTTTCACTCCGCCGTCGTCACCTTGTTCAGCGTGAGCGAGACGCACGAGAAGCAGGGCATCGGCACCAAACTCCTCGCGCGCATACAGGAATGGGCAGCCGACGAGGCGGCCGCGCCGATCGAGCGAGGCGGCGGCAGCAGTGCCGGCAGCAGCAGTGGCGGCGGCGGAGGCGGCGGCCGAGGCGGCGGCGGCGGCGGCGGGGGTGGCGGCGGCGGCGGCGGCGGCGGCAGCTTGCTCATTCTCTCCGCCGGTGACAATTGGTGGGAGAAGCGCCTCAAGCAGCGCGGGCTGAGGTTCAGTAAGCACGACGATCGCGACGCGCTACTTAAGGCGGTTGGCGTGAACGCAGCCTTCCCGCCCAGCTTCTGGCTGCCTTGGCCGCTGAACGACGACATGGTGGTCCTCGACGTCAAGATCTCGAGCATCTCCAAGGTCGTGACCGACGAGCGGGCGAAGGAGGAACGCTCCACTCGCCTCCCGCCGAGCCGGCCCATCTTCTTCGAGGGTTGCTGCGGTTCCCGCCGTTTGGCGAACGAGCTTGCGTCACATCAGTGGCACACTATCTCTTGCGACGACGGCTCGAAGGGCATCCCGCGCGAGGAGCCGCACGACTGGACTGTCCCGTGCGACGTCATTTTCCCCACCGACGTCCACCCCAACCTCTTCGCCGAGGCGAACGCGCCGATGCACATCCACATCGACGGAAAGCTCGAGGATATCAAGCCGGCGTTGCTGCCGACGCTCACCGCCGCGAGCTACTCCCCGAACTGCGCATCGCAGAGCGACATGGCGGCGGACAAGCACCCACGGCTTGCTGAGGACCGTATGGTCGCCGTCGCCGAGGGCGCATCGGACCTGAGCAAGGAGTGGGACTTTTGCGTGAAGCACATTAGCCGCATCAACGCCGATCAGCGAGACCGCGACTTGGGCCCGGGACGGAAGAACAGCGATTTTGGCTTCCTGTTCGAGCAGCCTTCGACGTCGCGCGTCAGGCTGCACAACCACATTTTGTTCATGCAGTTACCGATTCAAAATGGCGGGGACGGCGCCCAGCGGACCACCGTCGACATCTGCCAGCTCGGCGGGCCGTCGCAGAAGCCAACCGACCTCTGGGTTTCGCAGCTGCCCGCTGTCTACGAGCAGCTGTGCACCGCCGACGGCAGCCAGAAGTACAAGTGCCCTGGCTTGTCTCCCTTCCACCAGCATGTGTCGCTGCGGACAGCCAAGCGGGGCCCTGGCCCCGGGCAGCGCCCGAGCGACCCGTATCGAGGCGCGCGCTTCCATCCGCTTTTGGCCGGGCTCCTTGCGCTCGGCATCAACCAGTCCCTTCGAGGCCGGTCGTGAGGGGCATCCTGCTGCAGGGGTGTACAATGGGCGCTCCTTGAGCGACATACGTGTATGCTACAGGACGGTGTTGGCCGCATTAGTGATGGCCTCACTGTCTCATCCATGCCCTACACACGGCTTTCGCATGTGATGACGATATACGACGTCCCAGTACCTCGTGAATTTATGTGTGTGCACGTGTCGGCCATGCAGCATGCACACACAGTGACAAGACGCTCTCGCATGTCGCATCCTTGTTTTTACGTGGGGTAGGGGTCGTGCTTTCATTACAGTCACACAGTAAAGCCGTCTCGTCTCTAGAGTATACACACAATACAACAGAGGTCTCACATCGCGCTGCGCGAGATCATGTCAACCTCGTCCTCCTCCGACATACCAAACGGCGCCGCCATCGCAACCTCCTGTAGCAGCGTCGCGCTCAGCGTCGGCGCCGCCGGATCGATGTCCACCTCCTGCAGCAGCGACTGCTGCAACCCGCCCCCCGCAGCGCTGGACACGCCCCCGCCCCCGTCGACCATCAGCTGGGCCGCCTCCGCCTCCACCTCCGCCTCCGCCACCTCCGCCGCCGCCTCCTCTACCACAGGAGGCGGCGCTGGCGCCTCCGCCGCCGCCTTCGCCTCCGCCGCCGCCTCCGCCTCCGCCGCCTCCGCCTCCGCCGGCTGCTGCTGCTCCACCCGCTTAGCAAGCTGCCGCTTCTGCCGCTCCGCGCCCGACACGAGCCGCGCCACCTTAATCGATGGGGAACGGCTGATCAATCAACGAGTTTGCACTTGTGCGCCCGACACGAGCCGCGCCACCTTGCTGTCCCACTGCCGCGCCGCCGCGAAGTCGCCCTGCTCCGCCTCGTACCGCGCCTGCAGGCGAGTCGTGGACGTGTCGTGGACGTGTCTCGGATGCGTCGCGGACGTGTCGCGGAAGTGTCGCGGACGTGACTCGGAAGTGACTCGGAGGTGTCTCCGAGGCGTCTCAAAGGCGTCTCGGAGGTGTCTCGGAGGTGTCTCGGAGGTGTCTCGAAAGCGTCTCGGAGGTGTCTCGAAAGCGTCTCGGAGTGTCATTGAGGTGGCCGCCTGCTGCCCGGCGAGCGCGGCGAGCCGCACGGTGCGGAGCAGCATCGTGCGCGACACCTCGAGCGACGGCGTGCCGCCTCGCGACGCGTTGACCACCGCCTGGATCCGGCGCCGCAAAAAGAGTAAACGACGGCGGGACGAGCCTCGGGGACGCCCCTTTCGCCGGCGCCGCCTGCAGCTGCGCCCCCTCGGCGCGGAAGCGGGGTGCCGCCTGCGCCGTTGCGTTGCACTCGCCGTCGCTCGCGTTGAAGCCGCCCGCCTTGACGGCGCGCGTGTAGAAGACCGCCGACGCCTTTGGCTGGCGCGCGAGTGTGCCTGGGGAGATATGGGGAGATGTGGAGAGGTATGGGGAGGGATGGGGAGATATGCCTGGCTCGACGCGGGCGAGTTGAGGGAGATATGGGGAGATATGGGGAGATATGGGGAGATATGGGGAGATATGCCTGGCTCGACGCGTACGAGGCCGAAGCGCGTGCCGAAGCCGTGTTCCCACTCCGCCGCGTCGAGCAGCGACCAGACAAAGTAGCCGCGCACGGGCACGCCCTCCCCCATCGCGCGGTGGACTGCCTGGCGGGCGGGCGAGGGGCGGGTGAGGGGCGGGCGGGTGAGGGGCGGTGACACGGAGACTCAGAGAGACAGAGAGACAGAGAGACACGGAGACACAGGGCGGATTGCCTGCAGGTATCGCTTGAGGGAGATATGGGGAGATATGGGGAGATCTGGGGAGATATGCCTGCAGGTACCGCTTGAGGTAGCAGACGCGCGCCGTGTCGCGCGTGGCCTCGTGCGGCGCCGCGTCGTCGCCGCGGCTCGGGAACCTGCCCGCAGCTGGAGGCGTGAAGAGGCGCCGCTCACGGCTGGAGGTGTGAAGAGGCGGCCGAGCAGGCGCCTGTTCACGTCTAGAGCGTCAAGAGGCGCCGTTCACGGCTGGAGGTGTGAAGAGGCGGCCGAGCAGGGCCACCCGCTCTCGGTGATGACGATGCCGCCGCGCGGCTGGTAGGTTTCGTCAATGTGCTTGAGCAGCTTGTAGAGCCCGAACGGGGCAATGTCCCACCCGAGGCTGTTCTTGCGCGCACCGCGCGTGCTGTGCCACCGCACGCCCTCCGCCGCGTAAAAGGAGGTCTCGGGCAGCGGCGGGAAGGTTGCGTTCGGGCGAGAGACCATCAGCGTCGAGTAGTGCTGCAGCGCGAAAAAGTCGCTCGAGTTGCGCAGTAGCGCCGCCTGCTCGGCCGTGAACGAAGGCAGCGCATCGCCCAGCGCCGCCCGCATCGCCGGCGGGTACGCGCCCGTGTAGAGCGGAGCAGCCATCCAGCCGAGGGTGAAGGCCATCGAGCGCTGCGCCGCATCCGCGTCCGCCTCCGACCCTGAGAGAGCCTCCCTCCAATCTGCGTGTACTCCGAGCGAGAGGAGGGCGCGCTGGTCGGTCGGTCGGGCCGCCTGCATCTTGCGCAGCCGAGCAGCGGCGAGGGCGTGTGCGAGCAGCATGTTGTGGGCGGCGAGGTATGGCTCGCGCGTCGGCGCCACCGTGCGGCCTGGCGGGTGCTCGCCTCGCGCATACCCGTTGACGGCATGCTGCGCCGGCGCGTGGAGCGTGAGCCAGTGCAGCACGCGCCCTCCGAACCGCTCAAAGCAGAGGGAGGCGTAGGCGACGAAGGCGGCGGCGGTGCGGGGCGAGAGCCAGCCATCGTGCTCGAGCTGCAGCGGAAGCGGCAGGTCCCAGTGGTACAGCGTCACCACCGGGCGGATGCCGTGCCTCAGCAGCGAGTCAATCAGCTCCGAGTAAAAGCGGATGCCATCCTCGTTGACGGCGCCGACGCCGGCGGGCATGATGCGGGCCCAGGAGAGGGAGAGCCGGTAGTACGGCACGCCCATCCGGTGCAACAGCCGCACGTCATCGCGCCACCGGCCGAAATGGTCGGCCGCAGCGTCCGCGACGGCTCCGCCGGCGACCCGACCTGGTGTGTGCGACCAGGCGTCCCAGATGGAGAGCCCGCGACCTCCAGACTGCCAACCGCCCTCGGTCTGGTAGGCGGAGGACCCCGTGCCCCACGCGAACGCGGGAGGGAACTTGTACTCGGGCATCCTGCTGCGCGGCGGCCCCGGCAGGACGCTTAGCCTCAACAGAGGGGCGGCGGGCGCTGAAGGGTGAAAAAGAATTTAATATTTTTCGCGCCCCTTTAGGGGGGCAAACCCTTCCCGGCCCCTAGGACCCCAGGTAAGGCCCAGGTGTGGCCTAGGGCATCAGAAGGGACCAAGAGGAGTCCAGTCTAAGCCATAGAGCCCATGTCTTTGCCCCCGAAGGTCGCGTTCAAATGCCCGGAACGGACGTTACAGTGGTGTCCGGCCGGCGCGATCACCGAGCTGTGACGCTCAGGGAAGCCTGATGAGGTGCTGGTTTCTTTGCCCAGGGCTGGCCTTCCCCCCAGGCTGGATCAGCTGAGCAAGGTTTGGGGAGAATCCTATAGTAGGATCTTCAGATATTTTGACGGATGACCAAAATCACCCCGTTTTTGCCCACTCTCTTCCACGTTCTTGTAGCCAGTCGTGCTGTTCTTGGCGATGGCTGGGATCAACACGAGGCGCTCAACAGTGTCCCGAGCGGGCGCCATTTTGTCACAAGCAATAAAGAAAACCCGATGCGTTGTTGCGTAAGAATCCTACGGCCCTGTGAGCAGATCTTGGAGCACTTGGAGTGCGGTTATCAACCTCACGTCCAGGACCGGGGAGCTGAGAAGCGCACCCAGTTGGCCGGACGCTCGGCATCGGGCTACGGGCTGGAGAGCCCTGACCCCTAGCTAGGGGGGGTGCGCATTCGCAGGGCCATAACACGTCTCCGAGGGATGGCTCAGATCGAACTCTTCTTCTAAAAAGAAATTAGAAATCACATCACGCATTGCAGCCGCTCTATCGGACGCTGCTCCTTCCTCATGGAGTCGGGCCAGGTGCTGCTATCCATATCGTTCGCGACGGCTCGGGCGTGCCTCGACGTGTGCGCTCAAACCGGGACGCGACTCGCATGCGTATCGGACCTGAGGCACCGGTCGACGGCTTCTCCGTTGCCAGGTGCCACTGCGTCTGCAGGATGGACGGGCAACTACCGCTGGCCTCCGAGTGCAAGCCCCGATGGTATCGATTCTTGGGCTCACTGCTCAAGCTCCGGGCACTCTGAAACAGTAGGGACCCTCTGGGCGCGCGGTGAACCTTCTGGACTGTCGCACGATGGGTATTCTGCTTCGTGTGTTTCGATGACGAGCGACGGCTTGGCCAGCCTCGCATGCCAATCGCTCAGGCAGTGCCTCTGCACGGCCAGCAATGAAACCGAGGCAGTGGGCTCGGACCTCCCAAAGTCACGTCTGCGAACGCTGGAGGCCAGCGAGGCGGCTGTGCGGTGGCAGGCGTGGCTCCCTGGCCTGTGGGCGATTCTCCTCGTCGCCTCGCTCCCACCGGCAGTCGTGGTGGGATGGCTGCTTGCTGGACATCTCAAGCGGAGCCTATCGAAACCGGCGACGCCTCCGCCGCTCAGGGGCACAGAAGCCGACACGGACGAACTCAGTGGCGTACGACAGCGGCTGACGGTGGCGGTGCAAGTCGATGCGGCAGTGGCTGCCCGGGTCTCATACGGCACAGTCGCTCTCGGCTGGTGGATGTTTATCGTCGCGTGGGGACCTCAGCCGTGGGTGATGGTCACTGGTCTCGACTTGGCGGGCGTATTCGGCGACGCGGTGTGGGTGGAAGGTCTCTTCACAGCGCTCGGCCCGACGCTCATCGGCCTCTCTGTCCGACCGACGGATCGAGTGGGAGTGAGGCTCACGGGCGGCCTCTTTGCCTTCTCATACCTCCTCCTCGCGGCGACCGACTTGCTACCCGTGTCCCGCGCCCGGGCCGCGTTTGACCACGGCGAGACGATGCCGCCCTATGTCCAAGTTGAGCCTCCGCCCCGCAGCGAGTGGGTCTTGGTGCTCGCAGCCCTCTCGCTCGCGCAAGCCGCGAGTGAGCTCGCCGCTGCCGCAGCCTTCGCCACCTCCTTCTGCCTGGAGCCGCGCGCCGCCCTCGGTCGAATCTGGACGGCTCTCCGCGGGGTATGTTTCGCCCTCTCCGTCGTCCTGCCGCTGCAGCTGATTGCCGCGCTACAAGTGGACCCCTCCTTCACTACCCGCCTGACGTTCCCGCTGCGCGTCAGCGCGGCAGCAGCCTCCTTCGCCTGCGCGCTTGGCCTGTCGCCTCTGGTCCGCCGGCGCCTCCACGCGTGCCTCGGCTCGTTCTGCTTGAAGGACGAGGTCCGATCGCTCGCCGCGGTCGGCGCCCTGATGGGCGGCCGGCGGCCAGACGACGCCTGCGCCGCGGCATGCCGGTCTTTCCGCCTCTTGCCGTGGCGCGCGCTCACCGCCGAGGACTGCGCGAGCAGTGCCGACTCCGGGCTGCACGAGCGGACAGAGCCGGCCAAAGTCGGCTGTGTCGACGCGTTCGTGAGTCACTCGTGGTCCGACGACGGGCAGGAAAAGTACGAGGCGCTCGCCTCGTGGGCGCGCGCGTTTGAGCACGAGGTCTGCCGGCCGCCGACGCTGTGGCTCGACAAGGCGTGCATCAACCAGAGCAATGTCGACGCGTCGCTCGCCGGGCTTCCCGTCTACCTGGCGGGCTGCCGCAAGCTGGTCGTGCTCGCGGGGCCGTCTTACTCTTCGCGCCTCTGGTGCGTGCCGTCGTTGTCTGGCTGCAGATGGCGCTCTTCACTCTTGTGGTTCTAAATAGGTGCGCCATGGAGATCTTTGTCTGGCTGCAGATGGGTCGGGGAAAGTCGGACGTGACGGTTGTGCCCTTTGGAGACCACGGCCACGCCAGAGGCAGCACAAAGGAGAAGCGGCTCGGCGCAAGACGCCGCGACCAATTCTCGCGCTTCGAACTCGCGCACGCACGCTGTGCTGTTCGGTGCGACACGCACCGGCTCCTCGCCGTCATCGAGGCGGCCTTCGGCTCACACGCCCCATTTAACACTCTCATGCGGTCCATCCTCTCCGAGCGGGTCTTTGTTGGCGCTTGCGGAGAGCTGCTTTCGCGCCGGCCTGCCTCGCTGGTGGTGGTGGGTGCCGAGGTGTAATATAGCTAATTTAGACCGGACCCTACGCGCTACGGCTTTAGACGCTGAGTAGAGAAGTTTAAGGTACACTCTTCCACTCTCGCGACTCCACGTCCACGTCTCAAGAGGTGTAATTTATGAGGGTGTACAATATATGTCCATAAACAAGAAAACCGGACACCTGTCCTCCTCTCACTACGAAGGCGCGGCCCGGCGGCCGCGGCGGAGGCGAGGCAGCCCGCACCACTCCCACCGTCCCAGGCCCCGAAGCCGAACCCACACGGGCGTACGTATAGTGACAAGAAACTGACGCACGCGCCCCATTCACGGAACGCTCTTTCTGTGCGCACTGCATCCCCGGGGTGTGCACAGGACAGGACAGTCTCAACCGAGCCGTCGCGGTTGGCGATGGTCCGGCGCACTGCTAGCTCACCACCTCCCTGTCAATCAGAGCTAGCTAGCCGTCTCTGCACATCCTTATGCAGCTCCGCGACCGTCGCCCGCACCGCAGCCCTAACACGCAGCTCCGCGACGCTCGCGCGCATCGCGGCCTTCACATCAGCCATGCCATCAGCTCTGCGAGAGCGCTCGTCGTGGTCGGCCTCGGCTCCCTCACCTGATACGAGAACGAGTTCGCACAAGTCAGTGGCGGTGAGCGACCACATGGGCCGCCTCGGCAACCCCTTTGCGGCCCTCGCAGCGGGTGGACGCCGCCGAGGCGCTCCGCCCTGCCAGGCGGTCAGTTGAGCAGCATGGCACGGTCAGCAGCGCCGAAAGGATGTCGCAAGGCGTGATAGCATGGCCGCAAGTTCCAAGTACGCCGAATTCCCATGAAAACAAGTAAAAAATCGCGCGAAAAAAGAAATCATGCCAAAAAATCGGCGCCTGCGGCGGGCTGGGGGACCCCATCTCCACCCCGCATGGGTACCCCCTAGGGCCCTCGCCTCCCGCTCCCCCCAGAGATTTTATACTTGTTTTCTGTTTTTCAAAACGCCCGCCCCGCGCCCGCCGGCCGCCGCCAGCGCCACCCCGAGGCGGCTCGGCCCCCCACACATTTAACGTCGTGCGGCCGTGGCGGCACGATCAAGCCAAGGGCGGATCAAGAGAATTGAGCATGCAGAACACTCTCACACACCGACGCTGGTCGTCGAGCTGTGCGTGTCGGACGTGTGCTCAGACACCGAGCCACGGGGCCGACAATCACCGCAACCACACCCCGGAGAGAGTAAGGGAGGTAGAGAGGAAGAGGGCGCTGCGCGCTCGCTTGAGGGCTACGACTAGTGGAGGAGCTCACTTTGCGAGGATAGCGGCGATGGTGGCAGAGACGGAGTCGGCCTTGCGGTCGGCGTCGACCGGCGAGTACAGGCCCTGCTTTGCGTAGTAGTCGACGACGGGCTTCGTCTGCTTGTGGAAGGCGTCGAGCCGCTTCGTCAGCGTCTCCTCGTTGTCGTCCTTGCGCTTGACCAGCGGCTCTCCCGTCTCGTCGTCCTTGCCCGCAACCTTGGGCGGGTGGAACTTTTCGTGGTAGCTGCGGCCTGCAGACGCGTGGCGGGAGGGCGGCGTCAGGCAGGATGCAGGGCTCACCGGCGTCGCGGGTGCCACCAACTCTCTCGCCGCGTCTCGGATGGGGCACGCCTCGGATGCGTCTTTGCCGTGCTTCGGCTGTGTCTCGGAACTGCTTCGGCCGTGTCTCGCCCATGTCTCGCCCGTGTCTCGGAAGTGTCTCGGAAGTGTCGCTCGCCAGACGCCGGGTGGATGAGCCGGCCGCAGATGCGCTCGACGAGCGTCGCGTCGGGCACCTTCGAGGCACCGACCAGGCGGTCGACGAGCCGAGACGGGCCGAGACGGGCCGAGACGGGCCGAGATGAGCCGTGGGCTCGCCTTGAACTCGATGACGTGGTCGATGTGGCCGACGCCCTCCGAGGTCAGCATCCCATCCAGCTTCTCCGCTTGCACCACCGTGCGCGGGAAGCCGTCCAGGATGAAGCCGTTGCCGCAGTCGGGCGTCGAGATGTTGTCTTTGATGATGCCAATCACCTGCGATTGGGGCGGCGGCAGGTGGGCGGCGGGCGCAAAGAGCAGGGACGCGTGTGGTGGGAGAGAGCAGAGAGGGCTGGCCGGTGCACGGTGCACGCGGCTCGCGCAATATTCGTCCGACACGAGGCCGATGATCTCGGCCGATCTCGGCCTAATCACGGCTAACTCTCGCACAATCTCATCCGAGACGAGGCCGCCCTTCTCCATAACCTCCTTGGCCGCCTTCCCCATCTCCGTCCCTGCGCGCGCACAGACGAGCGGCGTCCGTCGGCCGCCGCAACGCCCCGCGCGGTGTGTGCCCAGGTCTGCGGAGAGGCGCGGTGCGCAGAGGCGCCGCCAGCGGCCGTGTGTAGCGCCGCTTTCGCGCGCTCCCATGGGTGGTTGAGCAGTACGCGCGTTCGCGGCGCGACAAGCCGGACGCCCAGCCCCTCGGGTCCGCAGCGCGACTCGCGCCGGTGTGTGGCTCGTGCGGGCGCGCAGAGGCTGCGCCGGGTGCCCAAGCCTCAAGAAGGGGCACTGCGCACCAGCAGCGACAGCGGCGCGTAGCAAATCGCCGGTCGCGAGGTGGCACAGCTTGTACTTGTCCTTTATCAGCGGCGCCTGCCGAAGAGCCGCGGCAGTGTGAGCCTCTCCGCAGCGGCCGGGGCTGGAGCGCGGAGTCGGCGGCCCTCGCAGCGGTGGAATATAGGAGCAGCAGCGGTGTCTGGGTCTGGTTCAGCAGTGCTGCTGACGCGCCTGCGTCCCCTTGCCGCTGCCGGGCGGCCCCACGAGGATGATGTTCTTCTTCGGAGGCGACTGCGGACGTGCGGGCACAAGAGCGCTCTGAGAAGCGCTCCGCACTGAGACAGCAGAGCTGCTAGAGACGGCGGAGCGTGCAGAGCGCTGCGCTGGGGTGACGCGCCTCCATCCTGCGCTTCAGCTCGGCCAGCAGGTCGGTGGTGGACGCCCTCGCGAGATCGGCGGGCATGCTGCTGCGGCTGCGAGGGGTGCGGAAACGAGCTCTGAGGTTGTGCTGAACACAGGCCAGGCCGAATCGGCGTGTCTGTGCTGTCAGACAACAATGCGGCCGCTCGCGTCGCGTGCGTTGGCAAGAGTGCGGAGCCGAACGGTGCGGCGCGCGCGCAGAGGTGTGTGTTGCGCTGGGAGGAGACGCCACGTGGTTTGGGTCGGTGCCTTCGCGTCGCAGTACACGGAGCAAAATGCGCCTGCCGAGTCGGCTCAAAAAGAATTTTATGGACGATTTTTAGAAGCCAACAAGAAATGACGGCTGCGCACCACACACCTCTCCTTAAAATCCCTGTGTGGTGGCGGCGTGCCGTCCTCCCATCCCTCCCTTGGGTTGTGTGTTTTCTTTCTTTCTTTCTTTTAACAAGAAATGTGGCACAGACAGTGATTTGGGCTCGGCAGCTTGTCGACCACCAGCCGAAGCCGGAGTCGGAACCGTAGCCGAGATGGTCGTCGAGGGTGTCGAAAATGTCATTCGCCTCGCTAGTAGAGCCGGAGCCGCATGAGTCTTGGTCGGAGGAGGAGTCGTGGAGGAGGAGGAGTCACCAGCCGACTTTATCTGCCCGATCACGACCGAGGTGATGAGCGACCCGGTGATGGCGGCGGACGGGCATGCTTACGAGCGGACGGGCGATCGAGCGCTGGCTCGCGACCAAGTCGACGAGCCCGATGACAGGCGAGGCGCTCGAGTACACAGGCAGGGCTCTTCTCGCACCACATGCTGCGCAGGCAGATCCGAGAGTGGGAAGAGGCGATCCAGGACGGTTGGTTTGTGTTTTTTTGTGGAGGAGGGTTTCGAGTGGAGAGGGGAGGGCTGGAGGACGAGGCGACCGCGCGCGCGCAGCAAAGGAGCAGGCGCCTCCCCGAATCTGACGGCGACTCTCCGCCGAGTGTGAGGAGCAGCCCGGCGCGTGCGTTTTCTTTCTTCTTCTGTCGGAAATCGCAAAACAAAAACAACCCTGTCTGCACGTCTCGCGCGCGCGTGAACAGGGCTCCAGGCCCCAAATGACGTGTGAGTGTTAGAGTTGTTTGGTATTGCTAAAAATCTCTCGGAAATCGCCGCCCTCTCAACGCTTGCGTGTCCCGGTGGTGCTCGCAAAGCCATCCGCCTCCCCACGTTTTTCTCACATGGCCGAGCGTTTTTGATCTCTCGGTGTCAGTGGGCGCCCGCCCGCCGCCTCTGTGAGACAAAGGGCAGGGGGGCATCGGAGGAGAGAATGAGGCAAGAGCGGCGGCCGAGTGACGGGAATGCGCACGCGTGGCGCGCACCCGGGGAGAGCAAGCAAGATGGGGCTCGGCGGCGCCCACTTCTCGACGTAGGGTTCGGCCAACTTGTGTGTAGGGTAACCCTCAGCCGGGTTAGTGTGGCTCAACCCGGATCCCGGTGGAACCCCGCTGAAGTTTCTCACCCTAGGAAGCCGCGGATACATGATCTCTCGAGGTTCTCGAGGTGGATATCCTTTGGCCGCGTTGGGTAGCGAGGATTGGTACATGATCAAAATCAGGCGAGTAGTGGAGTAGATGGAAGTGAATCTGCCCCCTCACTCCCTGCTTGCGCCCTCCCTCCTCCTCCATCCATGGCTCGATCCGATTCCGCAGCGTGTCAAGTCTCCAGCAATTACCTCCCCACACTAGTCGCAAGCAAACCCCGACACCAGGACCTCTTCCAATCTTTGCTCGTGGTGGCTTCCAACCTTTGCTCGTCACATCGTGTTCATCAAGGTGCGGCCCTCTCGCTCGCCGCCCGCAGCCGGGGCTCCGTGGGAATCGCACCCTGCCTGCCCTCGCAGGTGTCCGTCCGTCAACTCGAGGCCCGCCAGCAGCCATCCCAAGCTAGTCCCCAACAGACGCAGCACCGCCAATCGACACACAAGCCCATCGCCGCCCAGAATCATACCCCAGTACACACCCCGGAGCGATGCGAATTGTCGGCGGCGGGACCTTTGGCAAGCGTACTTGGGCGGCCTCCGCCGTCGGCTACCTCGCCGGCCTCGAGCACAGCTTGCATCGCATGAGCATATGCGGCGAGTCGAGCAGTCTCTTTCGCCACTCGCATATTTGTTCATCCTCGGAATGCTCGCTTGCGTCGACTCGATGAGAGAGAACGATCTACTCGGCGCGCGAGCGGAGAGATGCCTCGCCCCCTGCCCTTCATCACCACCACCGCAAGCAACAGCATGATAAGTCCTCGCGCCATCGTCAGCAACTCAGCATCACCATCATCGTCACCGTCTTCACCAGCATCCTCGCCCTCGTCCTCGTCACCATCACCATCACCATCCTCATCACCATCCTCATCCCCACCCTCGTCAACATCATCATCAACAACGTCACCTTCTTCTTCATCGTCGTCGTCAACATCCTCCCCTTGATCGTCTTGACGCAGGCGCTGCCCATTCATCCCATCCCTTGAATGCTCGGGCAGCCCCGACCGCCGTCATCGCCGCTCCCTTCGACCCGGCGTTCGACCCGGCCATGTCTGCGCGAGAAGCCCTACGCGGCGCTTATCGGGCTCGTCCCCGCATCGAGGGCGGGCTCTCAGCTCTCATGAAGGGCGGCGGGCTGTGTCCGGAGAAGGTGCCTGCGGCCCTCGCCCCTCCCTCCCCCGACCCCCCCCTCCCCCCCCTCCAGATCGTCTCCCCCACTCCGCCCGCCCCCCTTCCCGCCTGCCTCCACCCTTTTCCTTGCCCTTGGGCAGGCCCGGGTCGCCATTTCCGGCCCCTTCGGGCGAGGCAAAGGTATGGGCCCTCCTTTCGCCCCCTTCCCCACCCCCTCCTCTTTTCCGTTATTTCCGCCCCCGTCCCCTCCCCCCTTGCCTCCGCCTCCCTTTTTTCCTTTTTGGGTCCGCCCGCCTGCCTGTCACCGCCCCAATCGCGGCCGGAATGCCCCCCCCCCCCCCCCCAAAACACCTCCCCCAGAGCTCTTCCCCGTCTAGCGCCCGACCCATCGCGGCCCCTCTCCCTCTCCTCTCACCAGACATTGCACTTCCCCACCTCCGCGCAGCCGCCGGCGATGCTTGGTGAGGACGGCGAGGAGCGACTTGGGCCGGGGGCCGCTGCCTGCTCGGGAGGGGCAGAGCCCAGGCCGTCGTGCCGACGGCGACCTGGCCTCAGCAGGCGCGCAGCACGCGCACACTCTCCGTGCCAGCGCCTCGCCTTCCCGCCTCCCTCCGGCCCCCCGCACCCCGCTGCACCCCATCACCCCTGCCCTCACCTACCCGCCCTCCTTCTTCACCCCCACGCCCCCCCCTCACCAGGTGGCGCTCGACGCGGCCGACACGGTGTCGGTCGGCAACGGCTTTGCCTTTCGCCTGTCACTCATCCTACTGAGCCTGCCTTCCCTTCGCATCCGACCAGCCCCGCGCCCACCGCCGCCGCCCTCGCCGCCCTCGCCCTCGCCACCACTCTCGCCGCCGCCGTCGCCGCCGCCCTCGTCCTCGCCGCCCCCACCCTCGCCGCGCCACCCTTGCCGCCGTCGCCGCCGCCGCAGTCGCCCGCCCCGGCCACGCCCTCCTGATGGACGGTGGCGATGTCTCCGGCGCCCCGGGGACGTTTGCCGAGTGGACGGCCGCCGCTGCGGATGCTGCTTGTGACGACAGGACATCACCAAGGCCACGGACACTCGCAACATAACTCGGACAACGGCTCCCCCGAGCTTGAGGGGCCCCGGAGGGGTGCTCAATGGC